CATCCGTCCAATCTGCTCAACTGTAGCGATTTGCGGAACACGCCTTGAAATAAACAGCTTTCATGTTTTGCTGTTTACGAAAAGTCAAAGGTTGCTGAGATTTCAGTATTTTTTTTCCATAGTTTTGACATAAGCATCTTCACATTGCACATTTTTATATGAATAAACGATAAGTTCAAAAATGCGATAGTATTCGTTTTGGTATTATCAGCATGATGCGAATGCTTAAAACAATCTCTATGCACACATGGCTGCATGTCAAGTATGTAAAATTGTCATCAAAAACAAATCAAATTTTCAAACGTGCTTTTGATTGTACATCGAATATAATAATATTGTAATGAAGACTACATTCATAAAGTTATATGGTTTATTACATACTAGCAGTTTTCCCGCGACTCCGCATAAATTATAGCCTATGTCAACCACTATGATTTAGCTAACTGTTGGTGAATGAATTCTTAAAATCGGTCCAGTAGTAGGTATCGAAGCCTACTCGATGTAAACAATCAAATCTTTCCTCTTTAGACGTATAATAATAGTATAGATTATATCACTCGCTTCGATAGTTCTAACGGTGATCGGTTGATAATAGTGAATTGTTTAGGTTGAATTAAAACAAAAATAGTAATTATTTTGTGCTGTATAAAATTTTTTAGGACACAAATATGTTAAAAAGTATCCAACTTTTATATATTTTTTATAATAACTTAAACAAAAGGTATATACTCGTAAAAACTCAACGGACGTCTAATAATATTATGAACAGCATAAGAAAATCTTTCAGGTTCTCCGCTTTACATATTTTAGATATTTTGGAGCACATCAATAAATGGAATCCTGATCCTGATTTTAATAAGATGAATAAAAATATCTATAAAGTTGCAAACGAAACTTAATAAATCACCCTCTGATAATCAGTTGAAACTCAATTAAAAGAGACGATTACATTTCTTGGGTGGGCTGTCTTATCGCAGAGTCCAGGTGGGGAGGAATTGTCTGTCGAATTGATACTGACGTACACACCTGCCCTCGACGAAATTAAAAAAGTTTCAACAACACAAGAACTTTGTAGGTCTCTCGTTCATTTAAATGCTAAGGGATTCTGTTAGTATTCATTGTGAGTTTTTTTTTGTTCCATAGAAAAGTTTCCCATTTTATCAGAATATATTTTTCATTTTCATCTTTTCTATTATTCTGATTCTTTTTAGGTGTTCTTCTTGCATATTCAAATAAAGTAACGTAACTATTTCATGATAGCAATTTTGTAAATTAATCACTCGTTCGGAGTAATAAGCATTTATGAAAATGGAAAGTCATCGGACGCAGATCTACCGCTAGGTCCTTGTATTGAGAAGACTCGACCAGAGACTCGACGATAGCCGCTTTTTTCTTCGTTTTATTACATACAGACAAGAGTCCAGTTAAAAAATGGCTTTATTGGACAATGACACCTACGTTGTTTGTTTGTATCCCTAAGGCATAAGATGATATTTTTTATATTACAAGTCCAGTTTTTACTGTTGCTCCCAATAAGTGAAATTTTATTTAAATAACCGACAGTATTAGTCGTACCCGCGCACAAACGGTTCCGCACTGGAAACAAGCAAAGAAATCACATTGGTTGTAGGGAGGCTCCCCCTTAAATATTTGTTTAGTTTTAATGTTATTATTTATTTTTAAAATTACTATATAAATACAAATTCTGGTTTATTGCATTTCTTGTTGAAGCGGCAACAAAAATACATTATCTGTGAACTTTTTACCCTTGGGATACGGAATCTTAAAAATAGAGAACAACCTGTTCTCAAACTTTCTGTATGATAGAAAATGTCATCAATACCGGTCAAGCCGTTTCGTAGGACTATTAAATAATAATAATAATAATAAATACTCTTTATTGCACAAACCATATTAAAATTACATTAACAAACATAAATGAATACATGAAAATGTACAAAAGGCGGCCTTATCGCTAGGCAGCGATTTCTTCCAGGCAACCTTGCATTGGATGGAGAAAAAAAAAAGATTGTGCATAAAAAAAATTAAAAAAAAAAGTACATGGAGACAAACAAAATGCTCAAAACACAAGTGACAACCAGAAAGCGAGAAGTGTAAATAGAAAAATAGAAGAGCAGGCTAAACGTTAGAGAGGAAATGGGATTTTAATTGATATTTGAAGGAGTTTAACGAATTCGCCCGTCTGATAGATTCAGGTAGAGAGTTCCACAGTTTTATAGCGTGTACTGTAAAGGATTGACTATTGAATTTAGTGAGATTGGGAGGAATGAACAATCGTAAGTTATTAGAAGAGCGAAGCGAGAGATCATGCGTAGATGAGAGAAATTTAAAGCGTGATTTGAGATAAGGGGGCAACATGGGATTGAACAGTATAGAGTAGAGAAGCGAGAGCATATGCATATCCCTACGACTACGAATGGGGAGCCACTGAAGTTGCCTACGGAATTCAGAAACATGGTCATATTTGCGCAAACCAAATATAAACCGTATGGAAAAGTTTTGAAGACGTTCAAGCTTATTGAGAAGATCAAGTGTAAGATCAGGGTAGCATGCATCTGCATAATCAAGAAGGGGCAAGAGAAGTGAATGCGCAATTGTAATTTTGGTGGAAATGGGTAAAAAATTGCGCAGCCGCCTAAGTGATCCGGAGGCAGCAAACATCTTCCGGCTAATCTCTGCTACTTGTGGACGCCAGGACAATGTGTTGTCAAAGATGATACCCAGATTTTTTACCGTATCAGCGAAAGGCACATGTACCCCATCAAATATGATAGGTGGTAATCTATCAAATTTAATCCTGGAAATGTAAAAGGAACTGCCAATAATTATACTCTGCGTTTTATTAGGATTAATTTTGACACCAAAAGAATTACTCCACTGGACGATTCGCACCAGGTCTGAATTAATAGCGCTAATAGCATCATCAAGTCGCTCAAAACACTCCTGAGAGTAAATTTGAAGATCATCTGCATACAAGTGATAGGAAGAAGAGAGTTGTTGGGTAATAGAATTAATAAAAATAGAAAATAATAACGGAGACAGCACACCGCCCTGAGGAACACCGGCAGTCGTGGACACCCACGTAGATACTGTATTTTCAGCACGTATACGTTGCCGGCGACCATGTAAATAGCTACGAAACCAATCAAGCACCGCTGGAGATACGTTAAGGGAACGAAGTATGCCTAACAGAATGTCAAAATCAACAGTGCCAAAAGCGTTGCTGAAATCCAGTAACGTTAACACCGTTAACTTCTGATTCTCCATCCCATCACCAATGTCGTCTGTAATCTTAACTAAAGCCGTTGTAGTACTGTGTCCAGGGCGAAAACCCGACTGGTAAGGGTTAAATAGTTTATGTCTGTTAAGAAAGGAATTTAATTGTTGTTGGATAAGGCGTTCAAATATTTTTGAAAGTAAGGGAAGAATAGATATAGGACGAAAATCGGAGTGATTAATAGGCTTTGATATTTTAGGCAAAGGGATGATATGAGCATCTTTCCATGCATCGGGAAAAATAGAAGAAGAGATAGAAGCATTAAAAATTTTAGTGATGATAGGCGTAAGGATATCAAGCAAGGGAATCAACATATTACGGCTCACACAGTCTTCGCCCATTGCATTAGAAGTGACTGAGAGAATGTTCCGCTTAACGTCACAGTCGGTGACTTGACAAAAATCGAACGAAGGATAGTCAGGAGTAGGTAAATGTGAAAGATACTGTAGGGTCTGTTGCTTAATACTGCTGTTCATAGCGGGTGAAGTTGAAAAATAGTTATTAAGAGAATTAAAGTCAAAATCAAGTGAATGAGAATTAATATTGTTCGTTGACTTACCGACTCCCACTGACTTCAGGAACCTCCGAACCTTGGATGAATTTCCATTTTCAACTGACTTGTGAATATGGCGTTTTTGTGCATCCCTACACATTGTATTGCAGCGATTTCTAATAGCGTGGTAGTTAAGACGATTTAGTTCAGTTGGTCTAATTTTGAACTTAGCTTTAGCGCGGTTTTTCTTATCCATAAGACATCTAATGTTATCTGTCAGCCAAGGTGCCAGAAGATGCTTAACTTTGACTGGACGAACAGGGGCATGGGTGTTATAAAGTTGTAAAAGAAATTTATTAAACAAGTTAACCTGCTCATTAACGGTCGCAGCATTATCAATTAAAGACCAATCAATCTCAATAGCATCAGCTCGAAGGCGATCAATGTCCATACCACCAAAATTACGCAGCATAAGAATTTTAGGTTTAGCTTTTGGTGGTCGGATTTTGTAAGAAAGATACAATAGATCGTGATAGGAGAAAGCATCTGCAGGAATTTGACCATGTTTAGCAACATGATAAAAGGAAGAAACAATAACCAAGTCCAAAAGCGAGGGAGTACAGTTAGGAAAGTTATGCGTGGCATTTAAAGGGAGGATATGCATATTACTGGCGTCAATCAGATATTTAAGATTTTTGGAGCGGAAGTAATTTTTGAGGAGGCAGGTGTTGAAATCACCCATGATGATTGTGTGTTCAAATGAGGGTGAAAAATCCTCTAAGAGTTTTTCAAAAGAAGGAAAATAATTAATTTTCAAAGACGGACTGTAAAAAACTCCAAGAAGAACCTTTGTGTGTGAGATCATAATTTCGAGGAAAAGATGTTCTGCTGTACCAGAAGGAGGGGGCTGAGCTGAACGACTAATGATAGTGAATGGAATATGGCTACGCAGATATATAGCCACACCACCATGTGAAGTATTAGTTCGGTCATTACGAACTAGGGTAAAACCAGGAAGTGTGTATGAGTTCGTAGGAATAGAAGGATGTAGAAAAGTCTCGGAGATCAAGATTGCATGAACATTCCTATTAGAGAAGGTAGATAAAAGATCAGGGTAATGAGCCGGAACGCTTTGAGCGTTGATATGCACCACATTAAAGTTTTTAGAGACATCTGATACAGCAATATCAAGGGAAGCTCCTAAGGAAGGTAGGCTAGAATACTTTATATTAAAATACTTTATATCCCCCTATATTGCACGAAACCAATTAATGCACTCTATGAAGTACATATTCAATGCTAAATGTTATGATAAAGATGAAAAAAGACATTTATATCGACACCTAAATTAGTGGTATTTTTAAAAGGAGGTAATAAACCATGAACAAAAAAGTTTTTACAGCATCTAAAATTGAAATGTTTCAATTTACAATCATGAATCGATACAACTAATAAGTATGGCAGAATGTTTACAAAAAAAAAAAACAGAACGCAAGGCACCTATACCAACATTAAAGTGCCTAACAAAAACATTACACTCGACTTTAGTAACTGTAGCAACGTTACATAAAATTTTTCTTAATCATACCTAAGTATTATTCGTTAAAATTCAAAGATATTCTGTAATACTTATCATAATGTATCATACCAGCACAGAACATATGATCTGTTAATTGACTGCCGTACGTTTCACGACAGTCAGCTGTGGAAACGGTTGGCACTTTAACCGCCATTAGATGTTGAGTGACCTTTTCTTGACCTTTAGCCTGAAAGTATATTACAGGTTAAGTAATATCTCAATTCTTTTACTATTATAATGTATCAATAAATAATGTGGAGGATGATTCCTTCTTAATTTATTTTAAAAAGTAGCCAATGAAAGCCCTAAGATTTATCACCGATTTGCTTCAAACACACTTATATCTTCATATCGACGCTGGAAAGCACCTGCAAAACCAAAATGGATATTTAGAGTGGAAAATCTTTATATTTTTTCAAAATAAATATCTTCTTTCAGTAAAAATTGACTAAGGAACACCTTATTTGTTACCATGGACGTTTATAGGAATTATTTATAGAAAAAAATAAAAGTTTTTCTGCTCTAAAGAACAATTTTGATATTGCGGGTTACTACGTGTTTGTTTTCCAGCGTCGATATGTAAAAGTTGTCTTGTAGAGATTGCTTTTGACGATAAATCTGTCAGTTGTTGTACTCATATTATATTGTTAAAATCCGTGTATTTAATTATTTTCCGCAGTGTTTATAATAAAGTGATAATACGATATTATGTATAAAATCGACCATAAAAGAACTGAAATTACTTACATCAGTGTCTCCCCATCCAGATATAAGTATATCTATTCCCACGGGTACCTCGTTACCTTCTGCAGGTAAAGCTACAGCTTTGGTGTTTGTGCCATCCAAAGTCATTGCTCTAGCAGTCCTTATAATCGCTACATCATAGTCTAGACTATTGCGATCATATTTAGGATGGATTGTGTACTGAGATGTTCTGTAAACCTTACCACCGTTCTCAGAATCTGAACTCCCTGCTCTAATTGTGACATCTATAGCTCTGCAATTAGAAGGTACGTTTATAATTTTTTTACCAGTAGGTTCAATTAGTGTGTGTTGGATTTCAACATGTTTTATGTAATCTTTTGTTAAAGCTGCCTGGCAATTTTTTACTTTTAGAATGACTGAATAAAACAAATCAGGTTACTAATTCATTTGACAAAATATTCTTGAGTTGATGTTTAAAGTTGTTTTCTATTTTAATAAGTCCGTGTAATACGATTGTATGTATCTAAACAAAAAAAAAAACAAAATCTCTTACCCTCCAGCAAGGCAATGTGCAGCTGTCAGAACTATTCTTGAACTAATGATGGATCCACCGCATAGTTCTACGTTTTGCGGTACTCTTATTCTCAAGTGCACTTGATAAGGTACGTCTTGGATGGAAACTTCGTAACCACCAACGATCTTATTACTATTGCTAGATACAGACTGGTGATTGTGCTTTTTAGCTATGACATCTGTGTGAAAAAATATATAATAATTAATATAAAATAAAATATTCTAAGGTGAAGTAGGAACGAAGTCGGGGTGTCATAAGTTAAAGTGTTTAAACTCGTTCAAATATAGTTTCGGTTTCAGTAAAAATTTTAAGTTCCACAACTACGAAAGACTACTTAAAAATAGGATTACTATATGTGATATTATTTAATTATTTAAGTATTAACAAAGACTAACAACCACAGAAACACTTATTACAACCAGTACCAACTAAATAAATACCCAGTGTGTTTGAAACGTAAAAACGTGTAGAATCATATTGTGTTCGTGTTCGACTAATGGTCGTTAAAAAAAATTATTTACAAACGCATTGCCTTCGAATACTTCATCGTCTTAAAAAACCCTTACAAATATTTTATAATCCTTATTATTTTACACGTTTATGTTTATTTATTTATAAACTGGCTTAAGTTTTTAATACCATATAAAGTTCCACATATAAGAATTGCCACTGTAAAACAAATCACTTTAGCCATCTTCACTTGAAACTCAGAATACTATTTGAGATTTATCGCATGATTATATACTGTAATACACCAATAATTAGCGTTATCTAGAGCAGTTTATATGATTGCTATTATTAAAACTGTGACATAGATAAAACTATAATTTAAAGTCAATATGCCATTTCCTTCCTTTTCCTTGGTGTCATTTAGATTAAGAGTTACTTAACTGATTGTATTCTTGTACATATGTAGTTATTATAGCTGCTGCGGTTTTCAAAGATTTATTTTTAGTATAGATATCAGATTTTTATTTTGTTTATGACTGAATGTTTTGATTATATATCACGGTATGTTTGCACGAGTGTTTTTCTTATGGTTTCGTATCGATATTATGCTAATCGAAGAACGTTTTTATTTTTGAAATTTAAATTTTAAATTAGTAGTATAATATTAATTAACATTCTCATATTTATATTACTTTAAGTAAACAATTTGTGGGTATATTGACTAAAATAGGTCATCAACCTCTGAGAACAATGAGAATATCCTAAATAGCATCGTTTTTTATACTCTTAAAATCGATAATCGTTTACCTTTTGTCGTCTATCCTTTTCTAACAAACGTACTTTAAATACCGTAGAGTAGGAGGAAGCATCATGTAGTTCACTATATGTCACGAACAGTTGTTAAAGGCAAATCTGTTTGTCTGTTGAAATTTTATACAGCAAAAACAGTTTTGAGAGCAGATGCTAAAATAAAGAAATACGCAGTAGAGGTCAAAATACCAAAATATGAGAAAAGAGGTATCAAGAAACCAGAAAGAAAGTATTATAAATTAGACTAGAGGTACAGTTGTCACTTTTTAAACTTAAAATTATTATAAAGTAAAAAAGAATGACAAATTATGAGGGCATAACCATAAATCTAGATACCAAAGCAATGATTATTGAGATGAAATTGCACATATCGCAGACCGCTTTTATGTAACAAAGTTTGTAGGGGCTAGTTTTGTTGATTCTACTAAAACATGTACGTACATCGCACATAACTAAAGTAAAATTTAACTTTTTTTCTTTCTTTTACTTTTGTTTTTATGTATAAAGTTTTCTAAATCTTAAAAAAAGTGATGGTGAGAGTTTAAAACTTGCTAGTATACCTACTAAGGAAGTAGAATCATTTGTAGTAATGGATAGTCGTTCGCTGTAGCATGGTGAGATGTTCAGATATATTGTATGTAGCATGTTTTTAATACGTCTATTGTTAAGTCCAACTTGGTATGCTATTGAAGATATTAAAAAAATAATATATAATTACTACTTTTATAGTAAAAAAAACAATGTATATCTAAATTATTTAATTATAATGAGTGAATATATCAGTCAATGTATAATACTAAATTTAATTCTTGTATCATAAATATGCTGTGCTAAGAAATGAAGTTTCAATAGCAATAGATGATGTATAGTGATTCTAATAAGCAAGTCAATTATTTTCCATAACTTTGTTTGATTTATTGTTTAATATTCCTAGATGCGTTGTGAAATATCCAACAAAATATTGATTTAAATTATATATTCTGAGCTACTTAACATTTTAAGATTTGTAGGACTATATTATGAAAACATGATACCATTCAATGCGTAGGTAGAGAAATCAAATTGTATTATTAACTATGCTTATTTTATAGGAAAACATCGTTAATACCCTACTAGAGTTATATATTGTGGTGTAATTTGATCTTACATGAAGTCCATTGTTTATTTAAAGGAGGTAGGCTATTTTTTAGGGGAGAACGAGGGGTTTTGAAACAGAATTGAGTTAAAAAATGCAGGTTTCCCGAAACTTAAAAAGTATTAAAAACAATTTGGCATCGTCGCATATCAATTGTAACCACCGTATTAGATAAGAGATAATGTCAACTTGCTAATGGTTTTAAAATTTTGAGAAATAAAGTTTGTATTTAAAAGGACCTCGGTCTCCCCTACTTCTTGTTAGAAAAAAAAAACGGGAACTAGGAAACCCAAAGCATACTATGAAATTTTTAGTCTTTTTTATTCATAATCACCTATTATTACCTGCTACCAATTATTATTCACATCATTGAATATTAGACTACCTTGCCTGCTTATATAGTTCCTAGCAATAAATCATTTTAGAGAAAGATTTTAGTTGTGATAATTTATAACCAAGACACGTAATCAGGCGAATAATAAAGCGTAATGAACGTTTTACAAACTCGGACCTTCAAACACTAATCGCACCTAATCATACTTTTGAAGTAGGTATTTAAATTTTACGTTTTGATAAAAATGGGTACCTATTCTAAAACTACTCGAATTATTAATGGAGGCAGATACTTACAGATTTACACAACATATTTATGTTAATATTATATTAAGATCAACAATGAAAGGAGTTTTAAAGATTGAGTTTCCTCTAAGTTGATTCTGATTATTATACGATGAGTGATACAGATTGTCTTGCTTTTGGATTGCCCCAAACCATGATTCAAGAATTAAGTGACGCTTTTAGGGATGAGAAATGAACTTGGATAAAAACAAGGTTATGGCAAATTGTACAAATAGTAGCATAAATATTAGGGTAGACCAAGCCGCCATAGAGAGATTACAGAAATATATATCTTGGTCAAGAGATAGTAATAGGGAAGAAAAATCAGATAAATAAAATAAATTAACGTATGACGTAAAAGGTTAGCGTGGGCAGCCTATTCAAACCTCAAAGATGCCTTCAAAATGAATATCACGGCTGAACAAAAAGCTCGCTTGCGCTGAAACCTGGGTTTTTATAAAAGAAACGATCGAGAAACTTAGAGTTGTCCAGAGAACAATCGAAAGGAAACTACGTAGTAGGTGTAATAGGTAGGAGTTATGCTAAAAGATCTAAAAAGAAACGAGTGCCTCAGAGATATGAGTAAGGTTAAAGACGTCGCACGGTATGTTGCGAAGCTTAAGAAACAATGGGCGGGTCATGTCGCCAGAAACAAAGAGTCGTAGTGTAAAGTTATTGCAGAGTGGAGACCTCGGGATGAAAAACGCCCGCAAGGAAGACCAAACATGCGATGGTACGATGACATAAAGAAAACAGCTAGAGTGGATTGGATGGAGCCAAAATCGGAGAGAATGGTATAAAATGAAAGGGGGCCTTCACTCATGTAGTAGAAGAAGAAAAAAAAGACGATTATATGATACGCAGCGGTATCTATGCGGAATTTTTACCGTGGGAGAGCCACGCTTCGGCATGAATGGGCCGGCTCGACCGGAGTGATACCACGGCCTCACAGAAAACCGACGTGAAGCAACGCTTGCGTTGTGTTTCGTCGTGTGAGTGAGGGTACCGGAGGCCCAACCCCTCCCTATTCCCTTCCCTCTACCCCTCAACCCTTCCCTCCAAGGCCGGCAGCGCGCTTGTAGCCCCTCTGGTGTTGCAGGTGTCCATGGGCGACGGTAATCACTTACCATCTGGTGATCCGTATGCTAATCTACCCCCTATCCCATAAAAAAATGACTCCTTTTTTCCTTTTTATATTCTAAACGAATATTTATTAAATGAGAAGTTGAATTTAAAAGCCTTTAAATATTTATGAGTGAACGTGGTTATTACATCAGTATTTATATTGAATAAAGATGTATCTTCTTTACGAATAAAGGAAGGATTATACTTCTGATTTTCGGGTATTATAATATATGGTATGGATGTAACAATCCAGCTAAAAGAGCACAAATATGATTATCGAATATGCATTAAGAATAAATTGAATCGACCGTTTTGTTAATAGATTACTTCGTCATTTAATCAATTCATACTTTGAATTCAGTACACTGATTAACGGTACATAACGGTCACTTTAATGCACATTTCATGTAATAGAACAATGGCGCTTGATTCGCACACAGTCAAGTACAACATGTTGGACCGTTAATTAACACGTAAATAACAATTACCTACATGACATCGCACATGACCGAGCTTTAGGCGAAGGTGAGCTTTATTAGGTATATATTAAGTGGATAATCGTGTTTATCGTAATGTTTATTGATAGCTTTTTGCATGTTTTCTTGATGCAATGCGTATTTTTATTATAATACGGACCTTTGTCAAAAAAATTCATAATTTATATAAAATGACTTGATGAATATTGAATTTTCATATAGATAACTAGAAAGCGATGAAATGCAGCGACGACTTATTTGACTTTAACGTATCTTGTAAAATTTATAGTACTTAGAGGTCAGAAATGAAAGATTTTTTAGTTCAAATGAATTTGATCAATTTCGAAAGACCCAAAGCATTCTTTCCTATATTTTTCGTTCTTCCTAGAATTAAAATTCTTACTTGTACTAGTAAAATAACATTTGAAAATAACTACTGTAGCACAAACTAGCGGTTCGCTTTGTTGCCGGCGCTCCCCTTTTCAAACTAATAACGATATTTTTCTCTTGGACCAAAGACAAAGGTAATCTCGTACACAAGGGTAACTTGACGTCGCATACATAGTTGCGAAGTGGGGACGCGAATGTTATTTGGCTCGTTAGACATTTTATACAACGGAACAACAACTCCGCTCACATCCAGCTTAACAATGTAGCTCATATGGAACATAATCTCTCATGTTCTCCGTATGACGGTGTCGAACCCGACAGAAACTTATATTATTTCCTGCGGTAACTCGAGTGGTTTATTCAAAGTTTAGAGTGCAAAGATAACAAAAGTCCTGGGCATTTTGAATAATGCAAATAGTTCCTTTATGCGGTAAAGTGAGAAGGTGTTAAAGATAAAGTTTGCTCAGTACTCTGTAAGAGCTTGTATTCATAATTTAGTGTATACATACATTATATGATCCACCGCGGTTATATTGGTGCTAAACTGTTTTGTAGTTTGTAACTTAACTAGTTTGTTGTTTGAAAATATATTTTCATACGCTTTAGTATAAAGTTTACCGTTGTAGTAAGTTTTGTAGTTGATCCACGAAACTCAATTGAGTTGTGATGAAATTACTCGATCATATTGTT